AAAAAAAAAAAAAAAAAGATTACATGATGTGTCCAGGCATGGTGGTGCAAACCCTTAACCCCAGCATGTGGGAGGCTGAGGCATAAGAACTACTGCAAGGTTGAGCCCATCCTGGGCTACATAGTTTAAGAGTTGCCTGACTGAACTACATAGTGAGACCCTGTATGCTTTCTTTTTAAGTAATGTCCCCCTTCCCTTTTTTAAGTATGAAGAATTGAACTCAGGACCTTGAGTGTGCTAGGCAGGCACCGTGCTGCTGAGCTATATCCCTGGCCGTAAGCTTTCTTTTCAAAAGAGCAACTCTTCTGCAAGTTTCACAGTAGTATGTAGTTCTACTCTCTTGAAATTATACCTAAAAACCTTAAAAAAAAAAGCAAGATAGTGCCTGCTAAGGCAGACACAGGAGCTGGGGGTTTGATACCCTGCCTGCCTTGCCAGCCCGGCCCCCAGGGCTCGCTGAGACAGCAATTAAGACTGTGTATGGTGGCACACAATTGTAATTCCAGTGGTTGGGAGGCTGAAAACCAGGAAGGATCACTACAAGTCTGATCTGTGTAGTGAGACCCTTACAGACCCTTACAGACCTGTACTAAATACATTAAACAAACAAAACAAAACAAAACAAAAAAAGCAAGAATGGAGTAAATTTCAAATCTATACACCTGAGTAAGAGAAGTCAGTCTGAGAAGGAGACATCCTATTCAAGTCCAATTTTATGATGCTGTGGAAAGACACAGCCTCCATGTAGGTGGCAAAAGCAGAAACTTCAGGGCTGAACAGCAGAGCACCAGGTAGCTTCTGCGCCAGGAAAACTACAATGTGTGAGGCTGTCGTGGCACTGACACACATCTCATATCTGTCAGAACCACAGAATCAGACCTCCAGAGGGGAACCCAGGGCCACTATGCACTAGGCCAAACGCAGCACTCCTGTGCCATCAGCCACAAATCCACTTCCTGCCAGTGCAAGGTGCTCATAAACAGGAAAACTAGGTGGGAGATCTCTCTGAAATACAAGGAACAAAGGCTGGTGAGACAGCTCAGCAGACTAAGTGCTTGCTTAGGTAAACATGGGCGAGGGTTCGATCCACCTGGCCCCGTGTTTACAGGCGCATCAGCTCCACCCCGAGCGTGCTGAGCTGGCGATGGAGTCCAGGTGTGGTAGTACACACCTGTAATTCCAGCACTAGTGAGCCTGAAAACAGGAAGATCACTACGAGTCTGAGCTGTGTAGTGAGACCCTGCACAAAAAAAATAAATAAAAATATAAGTAACAAACATTTAGAAAAGGTTTCCTCCACTCTAAAAAAAAAAAAAAAAAAAAAGAATCTGAAAACCTGAGGTACCTTCTTGCCCCACATTCTGAAACTTACCAGGTATAGACAGGATGAACAAGCCAGGTAGAGGCAGGACTCTAGCCCTCTTTGTTCTCTGAGACAAAGCTGGGAAGGAAGGATCTGTGTAGGCCAAAGTGACAGGTAGCCAGGAAGTGAATCTGGCTACTTGAGGGTACAAACAGCTAGGACAGCTTCTCAGAGCAGGGATAAGGAGTACAAAGGTCAGCGGCAGCAACCCTGAGACCCGTGGCCACTGGACCTCAGAAGCTGCTTGGACACTACTACATATTACCCTCACGTGACCAAAAAGCCAAGGCTCAGAAGACTGAAGTAAAGGGCTTCAGGGTCTCTGGATCCTGGCCCTGTCCTTATTCCTGTACCAGCAGCTAGCCTCTTGAGTAGCTGGAACTAGTCTCTACATTTAAAGAAAACAATTCAGATCCAGCCACATGGCTCTTAGGCCCCTGGACCTCTATAATCTGCTGGGTATACGGCTGTTTTTCTTGACTATGACCTTCTGTTCAGCTATGGTGACAAGGGACTCACAAAGATCACCATGACAATCTTGGTTGCATCTGGGAGCAGTGGCTGGAGTATGGAGGGGCAGCAATTAATCAGATATTCCCCAAAACAGAAAACCATTTGAGAGTCTACAGAAGAAAATCTCATAAGCTTTCCCCTCTGCCCTTCCCTGGGAGGTAACAACAGTATCACCTAGAGATCTACTCTATGACAGTCCTCCAGAGAAGATTCCCACATGCAATGCCCTGTCTCTAGGACCTGCATATGAAACAGACACTTACTGACCTCCTGCCATAGCCAAGAATCCCAAAGACCTAACTGGTCCCCCCTCTCTTTATATCACCTCCAAAAACAACAGCAGGAGGCTCAGGAAGCTAGATGGCTAGCACACAGAAGAAGATGAGGAGTGTCTAGACTTGCCTCATAGGTGACAAAGTCATCAAACTCATCAGCACAAGTGGGAGGCTCCTCATCCTGGGCAGGTGGCATGCTGTACAACTGGCCATCAGGATCTGTGGAGAGAAGACCAACACTCAGCAGGCCATCCAAGGAGGTAGAAGATGAGGGTACAGTACATGTCAGGGCTCCCAGGAAAGACAGCTAAAGCTAATGTGGGAGGCCTGGGAGCCACTGCAAGCAGGCAGAGGGAGAAGTACACTCATCCAAGTGAGAAATACAGATTAAAGTGCCCAGCAAGGTGACGAACAATGGCCACACCACAGAACTCGCCTGCCAGAATGCTGAGGAGATTGTGTTTTGCTAGACTGATATGATTTTTATTTCTTGAAAGAACTATATAAAGCCAGGTATGGTGGCACATGCCTGTAATCCCAGCACTTGGGATACTGAGGCAGGATCATCAGGAGTTCAAGGTCAGCCTGGCCTACATAATGACTTCAAGGATACCTGAACTAATTAGTGAGACCCTGTCCTAAAAAACAAGCAAATAATACAGCCTTGTGAAAGAAAAAGAGCAAAATATCAAGCTCTGTAAAAATTTACAGCTTTTAAGAACTACCAGCTACCAATCCAGACTCAATGGCAGAGACCACTCATATTCAGGGAGTTGTGGGCACAATGAAACACAAAAACATCTTCACCTGGCACCAGACTCAGACTGCTTCTGAATGAGACCCTGTAGACCCTGTACTAAGAGTGTGTGTGTGTGTGTGTGTGTGTGTGTGTGTGTGTATTTTTTTTTAAACCTATTTTGGGTTAATCATACATAAATGTTTTCTTTTATACTAAGACAAAATAGAAAACCAGAGGGCCGAGGAGATAGCTCAGTGGCATAAGCACCTGCCTGGCAAGCACAGTCCTGAGTTTGATCCCCATTACCACAAAAAAAAAAAAAAAAAAAAAAATCAAAATTGAAAGGAAATACTACCTCCTTATGATGAACAGCGGAATCCTGATGTCAGAGGAAAACACGTTGCTTCTGGAATATATCAGTCCTCTCCCCCAGCCCATCTACTATGGAAAAAAAAGCACTGACCCCTACAGCCTCTCACTGTTCAGCAGCAGAAAATACAGGGTAAGGGGCACAGAAGAGACTTTTGATGTCCTATTACAAAAGCAAGTATTATACTTGCATGATATACCAGCCATTTATTCAATATCTGTTAATATACTCTAACTAATCAGCCACTTATCTAGAAAGTGGAATATAGGGTCTTACAGGCCAAGTACCATAGCAACTTTTTACCATACACTCCTGGAAAATAATCAGCTTTGAAATAATCAGCAAGAGCCTACTCTAGCTGAGCCAGAGGAGGTCCAGAGGACATTCTCATGTGATGTACCCAGGAATTTGAGGAAAGCCCTACTACCCGATTACCATGCCCCAGCAGGTTCAGAACTGATCACCAGTCATGGGTAACTACCAAAGGTAGGACAGGTGTCCCAGGAACCCTCACCAGAGAGCAGGCAGATGGGCCAGGGAGATGGCTCAGTGGAATAAGCTCTTCCCTGGCAAGGGCCTGAGTTCAATCCCCAGTTCCGCAAAAAAAAAAGAAAAGAAAAGAAAAGAAAAAGAAGTCACCAGGGAGTAGGCAGAACACACAGCCACTCCATTAAGTTTCTAGGCTTCTCTCATTTTATATGGAATAATAGCTTCCCCTGATAATTACGAAAATCACTAATACTAGTGATAACTCAACATTGCTCACCTCTCATGTCTTTCGAAGAGTTGACTGCAGTATGCTCAGGAGCATACTGATTATGTGGTTATTTGGGGCCATGACAGAGAGCAAAGGTACGTAGAGCCTGGCCTCTCCTGGTCCCTCAGGCCTTCCCCCATCAAGGAAGAACAGTTTTGTACTACCAGTACAGTTTTTAGGTCCAGATAAACTGCAGCAGAACTATACTTCTTTTATATTGGGTGAACACATTCTAGAGCACAAGAGATCTGTCATTCCAGAGAAGTCCAGACTGAACACATCTCAAAAAAGGCTAAACTATTTCTGGACTTTTTTTCCACTAACACGTTAATGGCTTTGCTTGCACTTCCAAAACTGTAACTTAGAACTCAAAGCTTTAACACAGCCAACCAGGTATGGTGGCACACACCTATAATCCCAGCACTCAGGAGACTGAGGCAGGAGGACTGTTCCAAGTTTAAGACCAGCCTGGGCTACAAAGTGAGCTTAAGGCCAGCCTAAACTGCATCCCAAGACCCTGTCTCAAAACGATAAAACAGGGCCAGCAAGACAACTCAGAGGATTAAAGTGCCTGCTTAGGCAGATACAGGGACCAAAGTTCGATCCCTGGCCTGCCCTGCCGGCCTCGCACCCGGGGCGCACTGAGTCAGCAAATGAGATGGTGTGGTGGCTTGCACCCTTGGGCTTGGGAGGCTGAAAAACAGGAAGGATCACTATGAGTGCGATCTGTGTAGTGAGACCCTGTAGACCTTGTACTAAATACATTAAAAAAAAAAAAAAAAGACAAAACAACAACAACCTTACAGCCAAGTCTTTCAGACATATGGATGTGGCTCAGATTTTGATAAGGGACAAGCTGCCCTCTGGTCTAGGAAGGGAAGTATGAAGAAGATCTTCTGGCTTTGTATTCTTGATGAAAACCAAACATAAGTCTTCTGTAAGAATTAAAACAATTTTTACTTAGTGGAAATTTGTATTGCATATTTAACTTATTCTTCCAGAGCCTAAAGGGGTTCGTGAGGCAAAGTGATGAACTATTTGTAACAATTCCCTCTCTAGCTCATATTCCTGAAAATAAGGCCTGCGGCTACAACAAAAGTCTTGCACTCCCCTGCAACCTGGGTCAATCCATCATGTCATTTACTATGCTGCTGCCTGACGCACTCTGAGTGCAACAGATGAGACAGGCTGCCCACATGGCACACAAGAGGTAAGACCTGAAGTGGACTTTGGTAAAAATACAGTTCACACAATGATGCTTTCCTTTATTTTTTCTATTATTTTTTGTTTGTTTGTTTGTTTTGGGGTTTCTGCGGAACCAGGGATTGAACTCAGATCCTTGAGTTTGCCAGTCAAGCGCTTATCCTACTGAGCCATCTCCCTGGCCCCCTCTATTATTCTTTTTCTTTCTCTTTTTGCCTTTTTGAGTCATCTATGCAATTCAGGCTTGCTCAAACCCACATGCTCTCCCAGCCTCAGCCTCACAAGCACTGGGATTCCAAGAGTGAGCCATCACACCTGGCTCCCCTTTCATCTTTTTTTTTTCCATTTTTGCTTCCTTTCTTCTAAATGCTATGAAATAACCTCAAAATCATCTCTGACATGCTTTCATTTTTCACCTTCCCTTTCAAATGAAATGTAAATAGAGTCACAAAACTACAGAACAGAACAGCAAAGTCACTACTGTCAGCCCCAGTGGAGTGGGGTAGATGCCTCCGACACCTACTGTAGGGATCTGTTGGTCTTACTCTGAACTAAGTTTTACCCAGGGAGACTTGGCAGCAGGAATTAGCAAGATAAATAAGACAAAAGCTGGGCTAGGTAGTTGCTAGTCTGCCTGATGGGCAAGACTAAGTCAAATGCACAACAAAATGACCCTTTATTTATACTTTTGCAAAGTTAGTAACATGTGACACAAGGTTGTCTAGGGACTAGTAGTTGATCTGAACCAGACAGGATGTTTTTCTTTTTTTTTTTTTTTTCAAAATGTTACAGGTCTCATTGTCACCACTGTAAATATTTACTGTGATGGAAGCATGACCTGTGTCTCAATTTTAGCCACATTGACCAATTCTGGACACCAATCAACAGTGCCCATTCTAATCCAGAATAAGATGTTTTTCTCAGGACTGAGGTAGCTTGTTTGCTTTAGGCACTGAGACCCAGTCCCACCTACACACATCTGATCAATTTCCTACCTTCCTGTGGCTCCCAACAACCTACTAGTACTTCCTCCCCCAGCCTCTGGGAGAAATAGGCTGATAAGGCTACAGTGAGGCTTAGGGGGCACACCAAGTAGCAAGTGTTAGGACTGTTTTCTCATAGAGAAGGCCAAGTCCTTCTATGGCCTTCTCAATCCAGCTAATGCCACTGCCCAAATCTACCTTCTAACCTTGGCTACCTGACAGCCCCATAAAGTGTTAGGTATATGCCTGCCTCAAGATACCCCTACTCCCTGCTTCCCCTTACCCCATCTCCAGACATCATTTGCAGTGAACTCCTCCAGAGAAGAGGTCTCCTTCCGGCCCATATCCACAGTTTCCAGGGTCACTCCTCACAGCCTTGACACTGCAGAAAGATCTGAGCAGTCAACTACCCAAATCCAAAATAAAAAAGGATATGCACTAGAAAGAAGTCAAGGGCCAAGGAGATGGCTCAGTGGAATAAGTGTTTCCCTGACAAGCACAAGGGCCTGAGTTCAATCCCTGGTTCCACAAAAAAAAAAAAAAAAAAAAAAAAGTCAAAATATCATTATTTGCAAATGACACAATCTTCTACATAAAAGACGCCAAAAAGATTCACCAAAAGACTCAGGATTGATCACGAAATCATCCAAAGTAGTAAAGACAATCTTTGGTTATATAAATAATCAGTTTAATTACTATGACTATGAAAAACAGTGCTCACTACTGGATTGGACAGTATTGTTGAGGCACACCTTCTACTCATTCCATGTTCATTTTTCCTGGAAACATTACCTCCTAGTACCCTGCCCTTGGCCTCTACATCCATCACACTTCCACTCCACATGCTATGGCAGAGCTGTGAAGGACTTCTCAAAGACCAACCTATTCAGGGAACCTAGGTCAGAGCTAAACCACTGTCAACCTGTCACTGTTTGGGGTTTCTGCAAGATGAACAACACAGTACAGGACACATTTTATAATAGTATTTTATAATGAATCACCCAAGCATCACATACTAAGAGTGCAGGAAATCTATCCACACATTAAATACTAACGAATCCAGCTGAGGGCCTAGAGCTCATAACAATGCCTCCCACCAGTCCAACTGGAGGCCTAGAGCCCACAACGAAGTCCCAGGCAGGCCTGCTTCATGGACATGTGCT